TTAATGAAGGCATGGTCGAGCATCTGACCTTGATATTGCATCTCTTCTTGGAACGAGCTTCCCATCTTACAGGCAAGTGACCATACCATATGTGGATCATTTTCTTGGTACGTCTGTTAATTACTTACAACAACGAGTTGCCGTGGCTGAAGAGATGGTCGGAAATGTATGGTAGCTTCTTTAATCCATCAAGATATTTGGAAGAAAGAGCAATGAAAGGCATTCTGTTGGTAAGAAGTTGATTTCTTTTGTAAGAACTTTTCACCTCAGTGGCTCACGATAAAAGTTGATATTCCGACATTTGTTTTTGGTGCGTCTGCAGAGTGAACCAGCTTCATCATCTCTAAAATCAAGATCAAAGCATTAGCCAAGTTTTTGCTTCATTATGTATTGAGCATATTTTGGTTGTAAAATAAAATCACAATGTGAAATAACAACATGGTTCGGTTGTAAAATAAAAATGAGTATCGACTTAGAATGCACCACGAACCATTTGTAAAATAATTTATTAAAAAAAAAATCATCAGAATGAAAGATTTTATTTGGTTAAATGTTTCATATTCTCAATACAGAGTCGGCTAAATCACATGTTTTTGCCAATGGCTGATAAAATTAAGCAGCTATGTGATTGCCCTGGCATGGAATTCTAGGTTACAAAATTCCATACTCTTTGTTTCATTAAAAGTGTGACTAATTAAAAATAAACCCTACCATCTAGAGATACAAGGCCATGATGATCATTGGTGCATGGCGTAAATAGTAATGCCAAGCAAATTAAGCTCTGCAATTTACATTGGTATGGGCTGGAACTAAACCTGATAGAAATTTATCAATCTCAATCATGTATGAAACTAACCAGAATCCTCTGGTTAAGTCATACCCACAACACTTGACACTGCTTCAAAGTAGAAGCTCAAACTCAGATTGGAATAATAATGTTACAGGAGTAGCTAGCATAGCCAATCTTCGGCGTTTAATTACCTTTACACCTATTTTTCGGTTTTGGACTTGGGATCCCCATTTTGAGGAAGTGGAACTCTTGAAAGATCATGGTTAGATGTGGCAACTGTTGCAGTAGCCATGTGAGATGTCTTGGTTGAAGATGGCAAAACAGTTTTTGCAGCTCCATTGTTCATGGGTCCCTGTTGGCTTCCAGTTTCAGTTCTGAAAATCTCGGAGCCATTGCTAAGTGGCTCCTTTTGACTCCCAATCTCTGTTCTAGCTAACGATGAACACTGTGTTTCTGTAAAATGAAACAGAAATAAGAAAAACATTGTCAATACCCAATCACATTAATTGTGTGTCAAAATGTAAGAATTAAGTGAGGAAACTTGCCCTTTATTTCTCCAAAGGTGATAAGCCTATTAAGGCAATCTCTAAACTTCGTTAAAACAATTCTTTCCTGCTCTGCATAAATCTCTGAAATGCCTTGACCATTAGGCAACTGTGAAGATGTGCTGCAGCCATGGCCGATCATCCCATTAGGAGAAGCAGCTGCCATAAACATTGTATCTTGTTCATCACACATTAATGCCAACGTTCCAGGAGACATTGGCCTTCCTTTTGGCACATCAGCATCATCCATACTGGAATCATCTGCACCAACTTTGTCAGCCAGGTTTGCACTTGAAGAAGCTTCAGCCATGGTTTTCTCAGCATCAGAATCCTTATGGCTTTGCGTCCTATCTCGATTAGATGAAGCAAGGTTAGTTTCTATCTGATTTTCAGCTTGCTTTTCTGTTGCACTTCTCTGATCTGAATGTGTACATCAGTTGAAAGAAGACCCAGTAAGTTAAAACATTTTGGATAAATAAATTTATACCATATTGATTAAAACATGAACATTACATGGTAAAAGCAAATTCAAAACTGATATAGGAGGATCACTAGCTTCCATTATCTAGTACTAGTTCTTAGATGCCACAAGGATAATAACGTTGGTTTAAAGCTAAATGCATGCTACAACATTGTACCTGTTTCTGAAAGGAGATTGTAACATAAAATAATTTACAAAATAGTTCTCTAACCAGTGAAGAAACAAGAGTTATCCAAACTTGGTTCTGTCTAAGGTGTATGATAAAAGCAATATATCATAGCTGTATAGACACTCAGAGCAGGTATAATTTCATAGTAAGATTCAAATATCTACCAAAAGTTTAGCAAAAGAAACTACATTAGGGCATGGGCATAACTCATGCAAACCCATGTATCACACAAATAAGCATTCAAGGCACAAGGCACCAAAAACACATACACGGTAACATCTTTTCTGGACAATTTGAACGCTTGAACTTTGAATTTTGATAAGATCCATATATACCTGCAAGTGTCTTTGCAGCTTCTCCAGATAGAACAACCAAAACAGAGCAAAGTTCCCTCACATCCTGCTTTTGGATGATGTCTGCCAACAGAGACCTTGAAACATAATATACAAGTTAGTGTCAGACACAATCAGATTACAATTTCTTCATCAGACAACTAAATATACCTATATGTAAATTTTGAAGGGCCCAGTGCTGTAGCTGTGCCAGAACGGACGACTGGCATGGTAGACATGGAAGAGGAAGATGAAGGTGCAGAAGCTCTGACATGATTTGCCTGATTTACCAATAGAACAAGCAGAGGACGATACATCATCAGTCCTAAAATGCATAAGCTTAAAGTAGTAATCAGTAATCATTTAGGGGTGATCAAAGGAAAAAAAAAAAGGACAAAAGAAAACCCATGTTAAGGATCATCGAAAGAATGATGATGCAAGAGTTTGGTTCTTAAGTGGAATCGACATTACTTTTTTTTCTTTTTTTTTTCTCTCTCTATTTTGAACAAAGAGTAGCATTAGCACACTCAATCTTTATGGAAATTCCATTGGAACAAAGAGTTTTCTGGCATGTTTACCTGTGGGAAGTGTCCCAGCCTCTGAAGAGATGGATCCTTGGCCGATGATGCAAAAAAGAGTTCCTGACCCTTTTTCTTCTTAGATACTGGAGGGGATGTATAACCAGAGGATCCAATTGCTCCAGTTATGGCTGCATTTGCTGCCTGCTGAATGTATGCCATATTGTTGACATGGTCTCCATGAAAGAGAGCCTGTCTCTCTTCGCTTCCTTCAAAGTTTTTACAGTCCATGCATTTGCAGTTTTCAGAGCATAGGATGCCAGCTTGGAAACACTCACAATATTTTTTGAGGCACCCTGATTTCTTACAGTGGCAACCTTTATTGTGCTTCCCCAACACAACTTCCCCAGCCTCCTCCTGAAAATATTTCAAAGCCAATGCATATGAGCACATACCAATTGTAGGAAGCTTAATACTAATTATCAAAGGCCTTATGTCACATGGATTTTACTTCCTTTTAAGGACTATGACCTGTGCAATAAAATCAAGTTCTGATACTGGTGTATCATAAAATTGACACTCTGGATACCTGAGTTTCTGATGTTCTCTATCATCTTAATCACTACTCAAGAGCGACAAATAATAAAAATAATG